GAGAGAGAGAGAGAGAGAGAGTTAACCACCATCGCAAAAAACAAGAAAGAACATGGAAAAAACAACCATCATCGCGTGGCTAAGGACAGGCGTTCACAAATCCGACGACGCGGAGGGGTCCAGAGACCGAACTTCACCGCCGCAATCGATGGGCTCCAAGCAATCACCGCCCGGTCATAAATAGCGACGAGAAGATGACTGTTTCGAAACTGGGTAAGAAACTATGGCAGGAGAAAGATGAGAAAGTAGAGAAGAAAGGCTAAGACTACAATATTCCCATTTTCTTAAAAAGAAGGAAGAAGATGCAAGCATCGGACAAGAGGGGCGCGCGCATGTGAAACGCTGTAAACACCCCAACTGAAGAAAGGCAAGGTAACAGCAAAGGAGAGGAGAGGAGAGGAGAGGAGAGGAGAAGAGAAGAGAGGAAGGATAAGATTTGGGTGAAGACCGGAGAGCGAAGAGAGAAGAGAACCCAGCAGGACTAGGGAAAACGGAGAGACTAATGATCGTGTTCAGAGGCCTTAACGGGGGCTAGGTCCCACTTACACGAATTAAGCGATATCGACCGTAGATAGCAAAGATCAACGGCCAGAATCTCTTAATCCGTGCAAGTGGGACCTCGGCCCGGGGGACTGTGAAATTGGAAACCCATCATCTACCGATTCTTTTTGTGAAAAACAAAACAGAAAGGGCGGGAAGGGCCGGAAATGAGCACAGGGGTGAATTGAGTTACACACCCAACGTGATTATCAGTAAACAGATCATGAGCTCGAATCCCGATGGAATGTAAGGGTTGACCAGATGAGAGATCACCTACCTCGCAGGCCGATTACTGCCCCGGCCGCCAATCCCCCGATGACGCCGTTAAAAAGATCCTTTTTGCCCCTTAGCCTCTCTGCGAGACAATCTGTGGCCGCGTAGACTCCTCCGATGGCTGCGAACGTCGCACCGTAGGATCCCATCACCTTGGCCGTCCTTTTAAGGGCGGGAAGGGACTGGTTCCTCTCTACGACGGGCACATCTTGCCACGTGGCAGCAATGGCACCCAGCAATGTACCCGCGCAGAAACTCGCGCCTGTGGCACTCGCTGTCCTGAATGCAAACGTGTCGTAGTCCCCAAGATTGCGGTAATCTTCGAGCTCCATCTCTGCCTGCTGGCTCGCTCGAGACCCCGCCCAATTTCCCCCTTTTGCCCTTTCCCCTTTCCCCCAGCTCTTCTTCCCGCGCGTGTCACCGCGCGTAATGCGTTCCTTTTCCTTCCCCCGCCCCCCTGCTCGCGATAACCCGCGACCACTGATGATTGCCCCTCTCTCCCTCCTTGATTCCCGCTCCCTCCTCGCAACAGAAAGGAGTGGGGGAGTGGGGGTTCTGTCACTCCTCGGTCGCTGTGTGCTCACCCGGGGCTAGGTCCCACTTACACGAATTTTTTAAGCGATATTGACCGTAGATAGCGAAGATCAACGGCCAGAATCTCTTAATCCGTGCAAGTGAGACCTTGACCCCGGGTCTCTGCTCGCCAACCCTTGACAGGGACCGACCCTATGATCGCGGACAGGTGAATTGGAAACCGAAAAGCGGAAAAGCACAACGTTCTTTTTCACACCACATCGCCGCGTAGCAAACCGTGCGGCCCATCTACCGCTTTCGGAAAACGCTATCCTGACTTCGCGTTGAAGCACAGTTCAAAAGGTGCAGACGACCCACCGAGTCATAGCGAGAAGAAGTGGTTCGATCACATCGTCAGAATTCATCGGACGGTTGATATTGTCACCGTGGTGAAACCGACATAGCCTGGGTATGCTAGGCAAAGTTGTGGCACCCTAATCAGACAAATGGAGGCTCGGGAGAAGGCTCTGAGGCAGCTGGGGAGAAGGCTCTGAGGCAGCTCGGCAGGGCGGGCGAAGCATCGTTTTCAAGTTCCTCCTGCTAAACCCAGCCTGCGGGCCTCTGTGGTGAATAGAAAGAACGACGGGAATGTCGTGAGAGAAAAGGGGAAAGAAGGAACACATATGCAATGGCAATGTTTTGAATGGTCGTAGAGCGGGTTATCTCCATAGTTCTTTGACATATAAACTTACATACATAGAAGATCGGAGAAAATTATGATATATTGTATATAATCTTCCAGAGAAAGGATCTTTCCCTCATCTTCGTCCCTTCCATCAACTCATGGATATGATTGTGTTCGAAAATGTTTACAACATCATTAAATTTTGCATATAATTTTGAAAGTTGATGTGGAATGTAGTCCCCTTTTAACTTCTTTTTTTTTCAAAACACTAGTACGTCACAGCTTTTTTCACCAAGATGGATCAATGCATGTTAAAAACAAAACGAACCAATTCGATGCAGTTTTGTTTTTGTTTGGACCAGCGCTAACAAAGAGGGCCCCCATACCAATCTTACTGGAACCCAAAATATCGCACATTTTATTATGAAGTTTATCCTTGAAAACTACTATGGTTTAAGGTTTATAAATTTATTTATACTAGTTAGTATTAAAGCACTAGTACCTTTGTCAGTTCGAAAATATTCAGCCTCCGAACTTTTATGAGGCCGAAACGAAACGACGGCCACCGATCAGATTGATCAACGTCGGGCTCGACCTCCTGAAAATTCGGGAGTTGGCAAGTACTTGTCGAAACCGGACGCCAAAGGTACTAGTGGTTCAACATTAACATTATTTTTTTTTTAGGATTATGGTTGCAACTTTGACAAAAACGTATTTTCCATGGTCTGTTACACCTCATAAAACAAAGTGGTCTCTACCAACTGTTATTACATCACAATTTGTACAATTTTAATTTTTAAATATATTTTTTAACTTCGTCATTAAGTTTTTAACTTGACACCCAAATTTGTATAGTTATTGGTTGATCCAAAAATAAGTTGGATAATAATATTGCTATTGCATCACAATTTGTGTAGTATTAAACAACTTTTTAACTTAGTCATTTGACTTTTCACTTAACAATCAAATTCGTTAGGTTATTGGTTGAACTAAAAGTGGGTTTGAAAATAATAATAGATAAAATATCACTTATTAAAACTTAATATTATATTATAATGTACTTGTGGTCAACCACAAGGTTTTGTTTTTAGCAAAAACTTTGCAAGGATATCGAAGTAGTAAAATAGAGCATCCTATAAAGTGTCGAGTAACTTACAATAATATTATTTTAGGAAAATCAATCCTCCTACTACATGTCAAGTAACAATATGTCAAAACAAGTAATATTTAACAAAATGTCATATAATTGTATGCTAAAATATTTTTAGATCAATAATTTAAATGCGCTCATATATAACTTACTTTACCTAAACTAAGATAAAAAGAATGACGATAACATTGAGTCATGGCAATCTTGTAATCGATTGATAAAATAATAAAGTTTGGGTTTATAATACACGATTCATAATAAGTTGTACATTATATAACAACCATATTACGAAATGTTAGTTTTTATGATGGAATTGTAGTTTTAATTGTAATTATTATTAAAAAAAATAAAACGCTTGTCTGTAACAATTTTATTTTCACATATCCCATTATATTATTTTTATTGATCATAATATTTAATTGCATATTTGACTTATTTGTTCATATGTTTGATTAAACCACTAGTATCTTCCGGAGTAATTTGCCGAATATTTTTAGATCCAATTATTACGTCTATGTGGGAAGGTTGTGAATGAAACTTGTTGTTAATAATACACAGTGGGTCACAGATACTTGTAAATGAGAAATTTGTATTTCCATGTTGTTTTCTTTCGTGTCAGCCACCTCATTGTCCACTGTCGCCCAATTATCAGAAGGATGGTCAAAAACAAAGAAAAATGTATCGTGACTGATAAAAAAATGATGCCCCCTCCCCAAACAAAAAACAACAAATGCGATGTATTATTACATACCTGCTCAGATAACGGTTGCCTTGAATCTCATCCCGGGTCATAGTTGTAGTAAGGTACATTTTTATAAAATCTTACCATGAATACCACTTGAGTAGCTGTTACAGGTCTGGCCTTTCTCGCAAAATGCGAGAGCTTTCCTGGTCGTGTCACGCAGGAGTTAAACAAAAACAAAACGAGGGACAACTTGGGGACAACGCAAAATAACCCCGCGAACCGCCGAGATGGGCGTGGTTGCGTCGTTCTTTCTCCGCTATTGCTGGGTGCGCCAACTGTACTTTTCGCGATCCCTTACGATATGATAGATTCTCGTGGATCACAACCTACCTTTCCTTCGCGGTCCCTTAGAGGCGTTGCCCTTCCAAACTACTGACCCACGTACGAAAGTTTTTATATGCAATCGCAGAAGTAGGTCAGTCGATGACATTTGCTTGTTCACTGCAATATATGTACGCTTGGTTAAAACGTCATTTGCACCTAGACGTCATCCGTTCCCTAAGACGCTGATCTCCTAGGTACGGGACAATCATCAGTCGACTAAGACGGTTTCAACCAAACGTGAACCCCACAACTCAATCCTAGTTTTTTAAACACTAGTAAAAACATATGATAATAATCACACTCAATTATATTAAAACAAATTGATCGTATTCGATAAGCATATATAAATCAAAACGATAACTGAAAGAACCTAAGCACCACATCGTACAACCAATAATGCAAAATCAAAATAAAAACACAACCACCTCAGATCGAACACGATAAAAAATAAAATAAAATCATACTGAGCCGCCAATAAAAAGTTGGTTTCGATAATAACCTCGATGTAGCAGACACGGTAGTCGGACTGCCTCAGTTTTGACTTGACGAGATGCATTGTCAAAGTCATTGATTCCACCCTACCGTCGACCTAAGATTAAGTACGCACACATTTGTCTCCGTACGTTTTAGTATTTTTTTGATGACAGACTGCTTTGCAAATGATTCTTGATCATGTGCATTACTCGAAGTGTTATATGTCTCACCCTCTAGGAAGTCGTTTGGGGTATTCCTCCTCCTCGCCCTAGCACAGAGCTCGGATCTCAGAAGTAGGACCGTCTCCACCCAATCGGCGAAGTACCCCCCCCATAAGAACGGTCCACTATAGGTTAGTAACGTGGTCGGCTCCTAAAGCCAAAAAACCCTCCCTATATGCTTCATAGAGAGAGGCAATATTTTTACCGCAAGTAGACTTCAAATGTTCGTATTCTCCCTTGCCTAAGATAACTTAGACGAAAAGAAACAGAGGAAATAGAGGATGAGAATCATTTGGATAGGTATAAGCAGCTAAGGTTATTCAAGACAGAACGGGTAAACCTTGGAAAAAGTTATATTTGCGCCAATTTTCTTAACTAAACATATTACTGGTTTGTTTGTTTTCCTGAAAACTATTAACTCAACTTACATTTGAGCTTAGTTGTTCAGAGCAAACACACATGCGAGAAAATCAAATGAAAACTGTCATTCATGAAATACCGAGTCTAAGCGGACAATTTTTTTTTTCATTCCATCAGTTTTCTCGTACTTGAACATTGCGTTCAACCAACGACAAACAAAATTCGCAATCCACATCGAGAAAATATTTTTCCATTCATACAAGAACACACATTTCATTTTCCCTTTCAGAGAACATTTAGTGAACAGAGTCAAGCAAGTGTGGGCTCACACGGGTGTGAAGGAAGTCAAAGTAAAAAATTGACCTTGAGTGAAGTATAGACTGACTCACTCAAGAAAGTCAGAGGATACCCCAATCGAGTAAAATAACAGATGTTGTTGACGTCAAAATGTTCAACTCACAACTCGGCTTATCACAAAGATAGTCCACCATTCCCAGGCTCCCTCAACAACCAAACCTTAGCGAAGCGACTCAAATGGGTAATCCTCGGAAAGGGCGGTCCCAAACTAAGTCCCAATCGTCCCGAGTAGTCTCGATGCAGTCTCAATTGCACCTCAAAGATCTAAGGACTATTCTGGCTCCACCTCCAGTCCCAAACTACTCCTAAAAAAAAAACATAAGCGTCACCTCGTGCCTTCAATCAAAACCACCATTGAAAACAGTAAAATTCAGGCCCAAGGATAATCTTGACCCAATGGACGCTCAACAACACCTCCACCAGACCACCTCGGATCACTCAAACGGTCGCCGCCGCACTTGTACCATCCCCGATAGACTAAACGACACTGCTACTGTATGTCGTGCCGTAGCCGACCACCGTGTCTCCCCACTAAAAACAATAACTGTGTCGTGAAACGAACAACATCCCTCCTTAAAATGAAGTTGCCATCGTGCCAAAACTCTGGCAACACATTCCCCTATGAAGCCCTTGACGCCGCAGCGACAATCAAATCTATCTCATAACTTCGTCGTTAACACGTCGAAGATCCGACAACATAACCCACACTGCAAATAATGGTCGTCGCCACACCAACATTCCGTTTGCATGACCCCCTTAAGAGGTAATGCTAGTGTGCCAAACTTTTGGTAGCATCATCCCCTTCAATCGGTTGCGCGACAGCGTCTCCCCCCGACGTCGAGGACTCAGACTCTGGCTATTGCTGCTCGTTATAG